ATATATATATATATATATATATATATATATATACACGGTAATATTAATAATATGAAAGTGTTCTTTGTTAAAAATAATATTATAAAAGTATAAATTTATTAAGTTTCACATAAATATACTAGTTAAAATTATGGGTCGAAGATTATTATCTTTGATTCGAAAAGTAAAAAATGGCTTAAAAGGGGGGATGGAGCCTGGAGGTAGTAATATTTACCTACATAATATTAATGCAGAAATTGTTAATTAACATATCTTCCATTTCTGTAAATACTACTCCGTATTTGATGAAGTATAAGGACGTTTTTACTTGGACTATAATTTGTCTGGTTTGATTAGATCCGGTTTGGTCTGAACTGATCTGGTCTGGTTTCTTTATATTTTTGTAACTATCCAAGTCTGGTATGGTCTGAGACAAATTACAGTCTAAGTAAAAACATCTTAATTCCAACTGCAAAAGGTAATCAACGATGGATTTGGTGCGTGAAAGTAAATATTTTGGCAGTGTAAATGTGTAATGCATTTATCTTTAAAAAAAATTGACTGCCTTCTCAATCCATTGTTGATTAGCTCTTGTAGTTGGAATTATACTCCATCAAATAGTATTTACAAAAATGAAGATATGCTAATTAACTATTTCTGTATTAATATTATGTAGATAAATAGTACTACCTTCGTCCCTTTTTATTTAGCCACTTTTGACTTTTTGAATCAAAGACGACAAGCTTTTATTCATTATTGTTTTAACTAGTATATTTATGTGAAACTTAATAAATTTATACTTTTATGATATTATTTTCAGCAAAGGACATTTTCATGTTATTAATATTACCGTGTATGAATATATAATCGGTCAAAACTTGACACCCTTGACTTGAAAATTAGTGTTTGAGTAAGAGACCGTTAGGTGACTCTATTTTTCGGCTTATCAGTCAACATTTTCACCAAACACGTAACTTTTGTTTTCGCGTGCGGAAATGTGTAATACTACGTAATAAGAAAAAGTAAGGCTGAAGTTACTTTTCTGGCTATATTGGCTGAAGTTACCGTAAAGGATGATTTTAGCTATTTTCATATAATCTTTTCCTTATTTTATTAATAAATTATATCTTAAATATAATTTGTTTCATAAATTGGCATAATTCGTCAATCCGGTCATTTCAGCAATAACTTCATAAGTTTAATCAGAATTGATGGTACCATGGATTCTAACCATGGCCCAATAAGAATTGATGATAGATATTTTGCAACATGCAGGACTCAATAGGAATTCCAACTAAAAGGAGAAAGTAATCTTGTGGGAATCAAGCATCAAAGAAGTTCTATTTCGAGCAAGAATGTAATTCATTAATTAACATTTATTGTATTAGATTCCTCCCATAATTCTACCTCATAATCTCTATAAATACTCCATGTAAATACACTACCAAGGGATCGATTTCTGATCGGCAATTCTTCTTCTGGAATAAGAGTAATACTACCTTATACTGCCATATTTTTTCCATATTATTTCTATACTCTACGTATATTTAGCTCTTGTAGTTGGATTAAACTCCATCAAGAATCAATCGATTCATTCAATTTCAGTGTTATCAAACGGGGTTGAAATAAAAATGGGACGGAGGAAGTACTATATATTTTTGAATTGATAATACTAGATTAATTTAAAATCACTTTTGCATTTTTCATTTATTATTTATACTTTTGTCGTAATACTTGACTAAATTAAAATATGTACTCCTAAATCAAACACCTTAGCAGTTTTTTATAATTAAATAAAAGTACAAAAGTAATAAATTGTTTTAGTGGAAGCCATCAAATCATCATTGAATAGTTCGGACAACCATTTGATCTTGGCCGTGCCTATCACTTAAATCCAACGCCACAAATGCGTTTATAAAATGCTCGGACAACCTTTCCCTCCCGTAGTTCGGAGGAGAGCATTTCTCTTTGGAAGAATGTCTAAAGTTCTATTATAATGCTTTTTTTGGTCCATTTCCAATGTATGATGATAACGCCATAGATCCGCAAGTTGAATACAACGATGTTAGTAATTTATTTTATGTCTTATTTAATGAGTTTCATGCACAATATGGCAACGTGCCCCCTCCCCCGAACACACATCTTCATCTAAAGGAAAATCACTTTTTAAATCTGCTTTTGGCAATCTTATGAAAAAACCTAAAACAACTCACACTACTCAACAAAGCGCACTTAATGAGATTTCTTTGTATATAAATTATGAGGTAGAATTTGACGAAAATGAGGAGTTTGAGGTTCTAAAGTGGTGGAAGTCAAAAGAAAGAATGTTCCCGATTTTGGCACGGATGGCTAAGCAAGTGCTATCAATGTCGGTTTCAACAGTTGCCGTAGAACAAGAATTTAGTTCGGCCGGCAACGTTCTAACGGCATCTAGAACGAGTTTGAGCGTTGAGTCTCTTGAGACGCTTATATGCTACCACGATTGGTTGAAGACCATACGTAGATGTCAAGAAATTAGCATCACCCCCTCCCAAGACTTTATGGATGAATCAACAACCGAAGGTGGCTCCTATGCCGGAGATTCCGATTGATTAATATTTTACAATTTATTATAAAATGTATTTCATGTTTTGATTTTTCCCTCATTTCTCTATTGTATTTGTAAAGTTGTACACTTGTACTTCATATTTCAAATAAATATACATTCTTTTTTTATATGTAGCACTTCTCAAATTAATTAATTAATCGGTTACAAACTTACAACTTAGAATTTATTGTATTAGTATTTTTTGAAAAATGTATTTCATATTTAAGTTGTATTAATAAGTAAAAAAAAATTACATTGGCCCGACCCGACCCGGCGGGTGGCCCGGCCCGGGACCCGGGCGGTTGACCCGGCCCGAACCGGCACCAAGCGAAGAACCGGAGGCTAGGACTGGACGCCCGACCAAGCATAGGCCCGGCCCGGGCCCGAACCGGCCCGAGTCCAAGACTACTCTTCGGGAATGCCCGAAGGCGGCCGAGGAATGGAATATAGCCGGGGTGAGCACATCGGATGACGACACCTCGTTGGTCAGTTGGGTACAAAATCTTCTTTCGGGGCCGAATAAGGAGATGAGATGCAAAGTTGCTATGTTACTTTGGGGAATCTGGAAGCGGCGTAATTCATTTGTGTGGAATGATGAGCGGCAGCAACCGGCGGGATTAATTAATTGTTGAGCGAGTGTGTTGCGAGTGTGGAGAGATGCGCATCAGTCCCAGGCAGCTACGAGCGGCAGTTTGGCTAGAGGGGTTCGAGCTTGGAGTTGGGTGGCAAGAAATGATAGAGGTGAGTTTGTGAAGGCCGGGGGAGGCTCTTGCAAGGCTGGTTGGGACCCGGAGGAGGTCGAGGCTTTTGGGTTGAGGGAGGCCGTTCATGCGACTAAGAGAGAAAACAGGGAGCTTGTTGATTTCGAAAACGATGCACAAACGGTTGTTCGGAGCTTGGAGAAGGGGGGGGGGGGGGAATGGCTTATAAGGACCTTCTTATTGATGATATTCGTTTTTTACTACAGGAAAAGAGTTCTTATGGTATCTCTTATTGGAAACGGTCTGCAAATCATGTGGTCTACGCTTTGGCGAGAGCACATGCCAGTATCTCAGATCATAATGTTTGTTATGAGTTTGTTCCGGATTGTATTGTTAGCCCGATGGCTAATGATTTACTATTAATATAAGTAGTCAGTTTTATTTAAAAAAAAAGAACAATTTGAGACACTTACAAGTATTTCTACAGTTTCACTCTAACACTCTAATATTTGCTTCTATTCTTTGCAGAAGCATTTTTAAAAAGTAGATCCAAACACCCCTGTAGTGACACAATAGTTGACATAACATTAAAGTCAAGCCCAAAAAGTATGAAGCCTAGACAAGATTAACATTAAAGTCAAGCTCAATAAGGGAGTGTTTGCGATTGCTTCAACTTTAAAAAAAGTGATTTTTAAAGTGATTTTGGGAAAAGTGATTAATAGTAAAAGTTGGTAGTGTTTGAGAAAAAAGGTGATTCTGAAAAAGTAAAAGTTAGTAGTGTTTAGTAAGATAAGTACTTTTTGTGTAATAGAAAAAGTGAAAACAGTTTAAAGCACCCTTCTACCTGCTTCCAGCTTTTAGCTTTTAAGTGATTATTTTAAGCAGAAGCTATCATTTGAAAACACTCTTTTCAACTTTTTTTTTAAGCCAAAAGCTGAAAGCGCTTTTTTTATTCAACCCCAAACACTCTTTAAGTATGAAGCCTACATAAGATTAACATTAAAGTCAAGCCCAAAAAGTATGAAGCCTACACAAGATTAGATTATCACCCAGACACCCAAACATCACACTAAGGGGTGTTTGGAAATTGGAACTGATTCTGTTTCTTTTTTAAAGCACAAGCAGAATCAGAATCATTTTTCAGAAGCTGGCTCCCCAACTTTTAAAAAACTGATTCTAGGAGTAAATTAGAACACCAGAATCAATTACGCACTTTCACCCAAACACTCCAACTTCTGTTTCTGCTCCGTGATCGAGCAGAAGCAGTTTTAAGAATCAGATCCAAACACTCCCAAATCAAATCATATTAGATCAGACCTACTTTAGACAGTACTTGTGAGATCTAAATTGAATAGACATGTACAAACAAAATCAAATCAAAGTTAAATAGACTAAATCAACTAAATCATATAAGACCAAAACAGAAAATTTGAGGCTAATCCCTAGTGAAAATATATACTCCGTAAAAAGCTTGGCTGAGTGAAATAAATACTCACAATTTTCCCTACGTTTTATTTTGCTCAAAAAAAGGAACCGATATAAATGGAACCGGAAAAAGAGGATCGCTACCAACCAACAAGGGATAGCTACCAGGAAACAGATCTATGAAATTCAATTTTGACAGTTGAATGTTTTTACACAGGTTCAATGCTAGCCGGACCCCAACAAGAATTCATTATGCGAGGCAGTGGAGATTTTACGAAGTACGTAGTTTAAACTAATAACAATAACAATTAGTAGTAATTAAACTAATAACAATTAGTAGTAATTAAACTAATAACAATTAGTAGTAATTAAACTAATAACAAATTAATCGATTCCATAGCAAAACGCTTCCTCAGAGTTCTAGAGCCAACAGGAAGGATCGTAATTCATAAATCGAATTACAATAACAGGTAAAAAAAGAGCGAACAGGAAGCCATTGAGCTTAATTCCTATTTCTTAAAGCAAATTCTTACAGATTGGATCAATTTAAAGATGACGTACAGAGCTGCGATTAAACAGATTGCGAGAACAATCGCGGAGGCAATGACGGTTTTCCGGAGACTACGGTGACCGTGCACCGGACAGATGGACTTGTTCACGCAGTTCACCAGCAGCACAATCGAGACGCTGATGAAAAAACACAGCACAATAAGCAGTACAGCCGAGCAAGCGGTTCCTAAAACAGATACCTTTTGAGCTGTATCGCGAGTGTTTTCTCCTGCGCCGGAAACGTCTTCAGATTGGAAGTCTTCAAACGTTTTCTGGACATGATGGATTCCTTGCTTGTTGTCAAATGGGAGATCTCCAAACGGTATCCGGACAGGATGGACTCCTTGCTTGTTAAATTGGAGGTCGCCAAACGTTCCATGGACAGGAAGGACTCCTTGCTTGTTGTCAAATTGGAGCTCGCCAAGCGATCTCTGGACTCCTTGCTCGTTGCTAACATCCTTCTCTGGCCTGCCATTAGACATCTCTTTCCTTACGTTTCCTGGAAGATAGATTTTATGAGAGCTCGATTTCATAGATTTTGGTAATCGGTCTTTGCTTGGCCGTGGTTATTGGTAAAGAGGTTTCCTTCTTTTTTCCAATAAAGGCATGATAATCCCTATCCCGACTTTATTCTTAATAATAAAATAGACTCATAGATGAGGTCACGTGAAATATTAAATTTGGAGCGGGGACATTATTATGTGTCAATGTATTGGATGATAGATCATAAATCTTACTTTGGGGAAACCAAATTCAATGATCATATAGCATTTATTAACATCATTACCTTTAGCACTTGGGAACGGAAGAAGTTGCAAAATCACAAATACACTTATTGTAGCTAAATGGCCACATCCTCCAAAGCATTTTAGAGACATATGGTAAGAAGTCAAAAGTAATGGGAATAAGTGGCCACGTCTTTGCCTTGTAGAAAACCCATAAAACACATTCTAATTGGATGTTATTAGTCCAAACCGATATAGAACAAAGTAAATCACACTAAATTAACACTTTCCTAGCATTAGGGTTAGAGGATCAGCTTTCCAAATTCATCTCTTTAATCCAGTGGCGGACCGAGAGATTTGTGAGAGCGGGGCACACTAGACATCAAAGTTAGTCTATAATAAAAAAATCCAAATGTAATAAAAATGGTAAAAAAAATGTATTAAATTATACAGAATAGTTAATTACATATTAAATAGCCTACGAGTTTTCATATTCTAAAAATGTTGCATAATAGTTTCATTATTGATGCTTCTAGAAACATCTCTCTCGATGTTGTCCAAACAATCCGTAAGATAGTTACCTCTCATCTTATTGTGAAGATCTATCTTGATAATATTCATCGCAACCTCTCAAAAAAAATATTCATCACAAAGAAGGCTCTTTCAACGGTGGCCGTTGCAACTGCTAACACTAAAGCCAACTCAATAAGACAATATACCAAGTGAAAAGAATTGTGAACTTTAAGCTCAACCATCTTCTTATAAACTTCACCAATAGTTTTTGTACAGCAGAAAATAACTCATTTAATTTGTTCTCATTTCATATATCCACACCTGGAGTTGCTCTTTCAACTCCATTCGATCAACAAATGAAAAAATCACATGAATATAACTCCGCAAGGTTCAATAGCTTTGAGTCTTTGACTCACAGAAATTGGAGAACTTCGGCTTTTATCATTCTAGTCTTCCAAATGTTAGTGGGTTTTTAGACTTTTTAATACTTCGTACTTTTAGTTGCCCGCACATTGGCTACTTTTTTGCATTTTAACTTTTTTTGCTACTTTTTGTTTTCAATTATTAATATTTTTTTTGTTTTTTGATAATTCTATATCTTTTATTTTAATTCAACTAAAATTTAATTTTTTTATTAATTTTTTATTTATATAACCGTAACATTTGAGTATCTTAATTATCAAATACTGGTATGAAGCCGGAGCACTCGTTTTTATCCTAAGTACTACTAGTGAAATTCCGGGCTCGAAGCGGGGGCACGTGCCCCACCTAGCCCCCCCTTAGGTCCTCCACTGCTTTAATGACTTGAGCTCAACACCTTCCACAAGTGAAGGAACTTAATTGTAGTATCATCATTAGATACTTATTTATGATATCACTATGAGGGTAATATAGAAATTCTAAGCATTTCTACTTACTAAAAGCTATTTTGTGACAATATATAATGATTAAAAGAATAAAATTGTCATTAACAATTATCGACTATGCCTCAACCATGATGTCTTATTAAAGCAATCGTCAGATAAATATCCATAAATGGGATATTATTGGATGTAACAAATATTCGATAAATATCCCATAAATAATGGACTAACAATAGTATTTTGAAAAATAAAGGGATATCATATTAATATACACTATTTTGTTCTATATTTATTTAAAATCTATATTTTTCCTATTTTTTTAAATTTTACCTTATTTTTACATACTTCCTCCATTCTTTTTTAGTTGCAACGGTCAACATTTCATACTTGTCAATGCACGTCTTTGACCATAATTATATCTTAATCTCTATTATTAAAAAATATTTAAAAATTAGATTTTGAAAATTTGTAATGAGATGAATTGAACAATATTTTTTTTAAATAATAATTTTCATAAAATAATAACATAAAATGTAGTCAATGTAGAATGGGTGAATAGTGTAAAATTCAACATGTTGCGAATAAAAAGAGACGGAGGATAGTATAATCTTTGATAATTTTTCTATTTTCTCCCTTATCTTTCACTCTTTCTCACATTTACTTTTTCATGTTCCTTTTTATACTCTAATTTATTACATATTCTGTCATAATATTTCTACATTATTCAATACCCACATAGAAATAAAAAAAATAACAAGGGAGTACTACATATGTATTCACATACTCCTTATTGAAGCAAGACTAAGCTGGTAATTATGACTAGGAGTGGGGTGCAAATTCAAATGAATCCTAGTAGCGGCGGCACTCCAATTCCAGCCACCATCACCCGACAGCCCTGAAGGAGTTTGTGTGCGACCTCTTGGCTTGAATAGGCATGGTTTTCCGCCTCTATTTTGGATACAGGCTTAAGGCGTGTCATTTCTTTGCAAACACACTCGTTTTCTTAGTTTTGTTCTAGGTTTTGTCATCCGGCTAAGGGGTTCTAATGCCGAGGTTTATTATGCTCTTGTGTGAACTCTTTTTTTTTTGCAGATTGATCTCGTTTGGTGCTGTTTCGTGTTTCTCTGCTTTGATTTGCTACTAATAATGGAGAGCCTAAATCAAGTCTATGAGATGATGTATATTGTGGAAGAACAAAATAGTGGTATAGTGTTCGAGTCAAGTACCCTAGATGTAAGTGGCGGGGCAGGTAATGTCCAACGCTTTTTTGCCATCGCTAGGGTTGTAAACTTTTACAGGAATTCAAGATCAAAGACACTTATCATTGATTCAGAGAGAAAGAGAAGCTAGAGTTTGATTGTAGGAGAAGAATGAATACGATCTTGTAATTTTGGTCTAACTATTACAGTACTTATATGAACTGATGTAAAGGAATAATAATAAGAAATAAGTATTTGCAGTTTAGTCCTCCAGCTCTTTCTCTTTATTATTTTTGAACTCCTTGATACCCCCCCTCAAGATGAGCATGGATATCTAACAGGTTCATCTTGACAATGAATTCTTCAAAGAGTGGATTTCCCAGAGCTTTAGTGTACACATCTGCAAGTTGATAATGATTTTTAATGAGCATAAGGTTGATTAAACCAGTAGATATTTTTTCTCTTATAAGGTGGCAATCTAGTTCTATATGTTTGGTTCTTTGATGTTGAACTGGATTATGAGCCAAAAAATATGTAGATTGATTATCAATATGCAAAGTAATAGGAAAATTGTGTTGTATTTTAAAATCCTTTAAAAGATAATGAAGCCACTGTGCTTCACAAACAGCATTGGCAGCAGCCCTATACTCACTTTCAGTAGATGATCTACTAACAACTTGTTGTTTTTTAGATTTCCATGAAATAAGAGAATTGCCAAGATAAAAGCAATAACCAGAAACACTTCTTCTGGTGTCAACACATCCTGCCCAATCCGAATCACTATATCCAGAAAGTTTAAGATCAGAATTGATAGAATAGAAGAGTCCTTTACCTGGGGCATTTTTGAGGTACCTGAGAATTCTATGAGCAGCATTTAAGTGAATGTCAGTAGGGTTGGCAAGAAACTGACTTAATGCCTGAACACTATAGGTGATATCAGGTCTAGTAACAGTAAGATATAAGAGTTTGCCAATAAGTGTTCTATAAACTTTAGGATCAGATAAAGGAGTACCATTTTCTTTTGAGAGTTTAATTTTGGAATCCATGGGTGTACCATAAGGTTTACAATTTAAGTAACCATTTTCAGAAAGAATGTCTAAAGTATATTTTCTTTGAGAAAGACAAATTCCCTTTTCAGACCTGGCAACTTCAATACCAAGAATGTATTTGAGATCACCAAGATCTTTAATAGTAAATTTATTATGTAAAACATGTTTGACATGATTGATTTCAGTCTTATCATTACCAGCTAAAATAATGTCATCAACATATAAGAGTAATATTGTTATAGAATTATCATTAGTTTTTGTAAAAAGAGAAAAGTCAGCCTGAGATTGAATATAGCCAATGCCTTGGAGACATTCAGACAGTTTGTAATACCATTGTCTTGAAGCCTGTTTAAGACCATACAGACTTTTCTGTAATTTGCACACTCTGGTATCTCCTGGAGGCAAGTATCCTGGTGGAGGCTGCATATATATGGTTTCTAAAAGATCTCCATGCAAAAAAGCATTATTAATATCAAGTTGTTGTAAAAACCAATGTTTTGTAGTAGCAATAGCAAGAAGAAGTCTAACAGTGGTCAATTTTACAACAGGTGAAAAAGTATCAAAGTAATCTAATCCTTCTTCTTGAGTATAGCCTTTAGCAACTAATCTAGCTTTATATCTTTCTAAAGTTTCATCAGATTTGAGTTTAGTTTTATAAACCCATTTACAACCAACAGTATGTTGTTGAGGTGGTAGATCAACCAGAATCCAGGTATTATTTTGTTCAAGAGCTTGAAGTTCAATGTTCATGGCAGTCTGCCATTCAGGATGCTTAATAGCCTGTTTATAAGTTTTAGGTTCTTTAATAAGAGAAATACTGGCAGTAAAACATTTATATGATTGATCAAGTCTCTTATCACTTATATGATTAGATATAGGATATCTAATGAGATTGCAAGATGATTGATGAGTAGGTTTTAAAGAATCAGGAATATTATAATCATAATTTTGCAAGTAAGTAGGAATACTTCTTACTCTAGAAGATTTCCTTTGAGGAGTGGTTTCAGGCTCAACAATATTTATGTTTTCCTGAAAAGAAGAAGAATCATTAGTAGATTCTGAACTATCATTATGAGTAGTGATAATATTATGATTAAGAATGTTCAATTCATCACTTATTTGATTATCTAAAAAAGAATAAGAATCAGAATTTACCTGAGTTGATGTATCATTAGACTGGTCAGTAGATGAAGTATGACTCTCAGAAGATAAAGTATGATTCTCAGAAAAGGTATTATTATCAGTAGAAGAATTGTAAGTGTCATCATAAAAGAAATTCTTATAAGAATCATTTGAAAAAGTAAGTTGACCATTGTTTACAGAATTACAGGGAGTTTTTAAAATATCTTTGTAAGGAAAAATAGTCTCATAAAATTG